AATTAAAAACAAAAATCATATATCATCTTAATAGGTGCAGAAAAAGCATTTGACAAAATCCAGCATCCTTTATGATTAAAACCCTCAGCAAAATTGGCATAGAAGGGACAGACCTTAATAAAAGCCTATTTATTTACAACAAACCTACAGCCACCATTGTACTAAATGAGGAAAAGATGAAAGCATTCCACCTCAGAACTGGAACAAGACAAGAATGCCCACTTTTACCACTTCTCTTCAGCATAGTACTGGAAGTCCTAGCCAGGGCAATCAGACAAGAAAAAGAAATAAAGAGCATCCAAATTAGTAAAGAGTTTGAAATCAAACAATCACTGTTCACCAACGACATGATCCTATACCTAAAAAACTCTAAAGACCTATCCAAAAAGCTCCTAGAACTGAAAAACGCATTCAGAAAAGTTTCAAAATACATTTTTTTTTTAGATGGAGTTTTGCTCTTGTCGCCCAGGCTAGAGTGCAATGGCACAATCTCAGCTCACTGCAACCTCTGCCTCCCATGTTCAAGCAATTCTTCTGACTCAGCCTCCCAAGTAGCAGGGATTACAGGCATGTGCCACCACGCTTTGCTAATTTTTGTATTTTTTGAAAAAACAGGATTTCACCATGTTGAAATCCGAGTGGTTTGGCCAGGCTGGTCTCAAACTCCTGACCTCAGGTGATCCGCCAACCTTGGCTTCCCAAAGTACTGGGATTATAGGCATGAGCCACTGTGCCTAGCCACAGGATACAAAATTGATGTATACAAATCAGTAACACTGCTATACACCAACAGTGACCAGGCTAAGAATCAAATCAAGAAGTCAACCCCTTTTACAATCGCTGCAAATAAAATAAAATAAAATAAAATAAAATAAAATAAAATACTTAGGAATATACCTAACCAAGGTGGTGGAAAAATCTCTACAAGGAAAACTATAAAACGCTGCTGAAAGAAAACATAGATGACACAAACAAATGAAAACACATCCTATGCTCATGAATGGGTATCGTGAAAATGACCATACTGCCAAAAGCAATCTAAATAAATTCAACGCAATTCCCATCAAAATACCACCATCATTCTTCACAGAGCTAGAAAAAAACAAACCTACAATTCATACGGAACCAAAAAAGAGACCACAGAGCCAAAGCAAAACTAAGCCAAAAGAACAAATCTGTAGGCATCACATTACCTGACTTCAAACTATACTATAAGGCTATAGTTACCAAAACAGTATGGTACTGGTATAAAAATAGGCACACAGACAAATCGAACAGAAGAGAGAACCCAGAAATAAAGTCAAATACTTACAGCCAAATAATGTTTGAAAAAGCAAACAAAAACAAAGTGGGGAAAGGATACACCCTATTCAACAAATGGTGCTGGGATAAAGGGAAAAAAAATCATGGCATTCGCAGCAACCTGGATGGAATTGGAGACCATTATTCTAAGTGAAGTAACTCAGGAATGAAAAACCAAACATTGTTATGTTCTCACTTATAAGTGGGAGCTAAGCTATGAGGACGCAAAGGCATAAGAATGATACAATGGACTTTGGGGACTCGACGGTGGGGAGAAAGGTCTGAGGTGGGTGAGGGATAAAAGGCTACATATTGGGTACAGTGTACATTGCTCAGGTGATGGGTGCACCAAAATTTCAGAAATCACCACTAAAGAACTTACTCATGTGACTAAACACCACGTGTTCCCAAAAAAACTATTGAAATTTTTAAAAATTAATTTTAGAAAGAATTTTTTAAGAAAAGCTACACAAAAAGAAACTAAAATAATAACAGGTGCTGGTGAGACTGCTGAGAAAAAAAATGCTTACACTGTTGTCAGGAGTGTAAATTAGCTCAGCCATTATGAAAAACAGTGTGGGAATTCCTCAAAGACCTAAAAACGGAACTGACATATGACCCAGCAATCCCAATATTACATATATACCCAAAGGAATATAAATCATTCTATCATAAAGACATATGCATGTGTACTTTCACTGCAGCACTATTAACAATGGCAAAAACATGGAATCAATCTAAACGCCCATCAATGGTAGACTACAGAAAATGTGGAACATATATACTATGGAACACCATGCCACCATAAAAAAAAAGCAAGATCCTGTCCTTTGCAGGAACATGGATGGAGCTGGAGGCTATTATCCTTAGCAAACTAACACAGGAACAGAAAACCAGATACCACATGTTCTCACTTGTAAGTGGGAGCTAAAAGATGAGAACAACATGGACACACAGAGGGCAACAACAGACACTGGGGCCTACCAGAGATGGAGGGTAGGAAGAAGGAGAGGATCAGGAGAAATAACTATGTGTACTAGGCTTAATACCTGGGTGATGAGATAATCTGTACAACAAACCCACCTGAAACAAGTTTACCAATATAACAAATGTGTACATGTACCCCTGAACCTAAAACAAAAATTAAATAAATATTTCAAATTTTTAAAAAATACTATAAATAGAACTACTACATGGCTGAGTGTGCTACCTCATGCCTCTAATTTCAGCACTTTGGAAGGCTGAGGTGGGCAGATCACTTGAGCCCAGGAGCTCAAGATCAGCCTGCCTGAGCAACGTGGTGAAACCCCATCTCTAAAAGAACATACAAAAATTAGCCAGGCCTGGTGACATGGTACGCCTGTAGTCCTAGCTACTCAGGAGGCTGAGCTGGGAAGAGCATCTGAGCCTAAGGAGGTCAAGGCTACAGTGAGCCATGATGGTACTACTGCACTCCAGCCTGCTGACAGAATGAGACCCTGTCTCCAAATAAAAGAACTACTATATGATCTAGCAGTCCCACCCCAGTGAGATTTTTTTTTTTTAATTTTTTACTTTTCGGTCTCAAGATCTCTTTATAGAACCACTGGGATTTTATCCAATGGAACAGAAGTCATTATACTGAAAAGACATCAGCATTCCTATGTTTACAGCAGCACCATTTACAACAGCCAAGATATGGAATCAACCTAACTGTCCAATAACGGATGAAGAAAATATGTTGTATCTACACAATGGAGTACTATTCTGCCACAAAAAATACTGAAATTCTGCCATTTGTGATAATGTGCATGGAACTAGAGGACATCATGTTAAGTGAAATAAGCCAAAAAGAGAAGTTAAACACCTCATATTCTTACTTATATGTGTAAGTTAACAAAAAAAATAATAATAATAATAAAACTGAATGAAGGATACTGGGAGGGAAGGGATAAGGGAGGATTTCAAGAGATTTGTCAAAGAATACAAAATTACAACTAGATAAAAAGAATCGGATCTAATGTTCTATCCCAGGTAAGATAACTACAATTAATAATAACATATAGTTTCAGAAGCTAGAAGGAAAATATTAAACTTTCTCAACCAAAAGGAAAGAAAATGTTTGGGATAATGTATATTCTAGTTACCCTGATCTGATCACTATATATTATATGTATCAAAACATCACTATGTACCCATAAATACAATTATTATTTGTTGATTAAAAAATAAAATTGTTAAAAAGAGCCTGGGACCTCCCCTCACTCTTGCTTTCTCTCTTGCCATGTAATCTCCGCACATACACACTTCTCTTCAACTTTTGCCATGAGTGGAAGTTTCCTGAAGCCCTCACCAGACGCAAAAGTTGGTATCACACTTCTTGTACAGCCAACAGAACCATGAGGCAAAGAAACCCCCTTTCTTTATAAATTATACAGCCTCAGGTACTCCTTTAGAGCAATACATAAACAGAATAAGACAGCAGGTATTCTTGTCTCACTTTAAAATTTCAGTGAAAACTCTCTCAATATTTTATGACTGAATATGATGTTTGCTGCAGGCATTTTAGTAGCTATCCTTTATTAGATAAAGAAAATCACCTTCTATTCTTAGCTTCCTTAGAGTTTTTATCATAAAAGGGTGCTGATTTATGCTTACGTTTTAAGAAAATTTAAAATGAGTGTAGCTCCCTTTCCAGAAAAGCACACTCCTAAATACATGTGATTCCTGGGTCATGGTAGGTTACATGTCCTCCCATACCCCTCTTAACAGTAACTCAACTAGATTAAAGCTCCACTCCCATATACATTGGCTCTATACCCACACTGCAACAGTTCTACTTCATTATATCATCTGAGATGGCTTGTAATCATGCTGAACTGCTAGTCTAGGCTGTCCAAGTTATTTCCCATGGCATCAATTTTACTTTTGTTAATACTCTGATTTTGTGTAATTTCTCCCTAAATTTAGTTTTCCCATAAATCTTGATTTAAAGTACAGATTTTGAAGAACATGATCCATCTCAAGAATGTGTAAATGTTACAGCAGAAATACCCGTATATGCCACAGAAGAGGAGAGTAGTCAAGCCAAACTACATTTAAACATATTTAAGGCTTTGTTTTAATTATGACTAAAGATGCCCAGCCAATCAGATGGAAACACACAAATGAATGGACTGTAACGTAGTTCCATTCAAGACAGCTAAGCATGGGTAGATTATCTATTTGTAAAAATAAATAGTAGGGCACAAAATATAGATACAATGAATAAGATCTAGTATTTGATAGCACAATAGGGTGACTACAGTCAGCAATAATTTGTTGCACATTTTTGAATAATTGAGGGAGTACAATTAGAATCTTTGCAATACAAAAAAACAATAAATGCTTGGGGTGACAGACACTACATTTACCATGATGTAATTAATGCATATTGTATGCCTGTACCAAAGTATCTCATGTACCCCATAAATATATGTTTAAAAACATGTTCTGACAGACAAAAATTACTTATCTAACTGTTGCTATTACATTAGAGTCAAAAAGGTTCATACCATTATGCTGAACATAGGTCAGGAAGAATTTTATATAACACTATTTCATCATGTGACTAATTATGGCTCCAGAATTATTGCTTATAATCATATTAGCACAAAAAAATGTACATAGTACTGCCAAAAAGTGATCACAATTTATACGCTTTGTAGGTCCATACTCACCTTCACATTTTTCAAGAATCTGGACTGTTTCTCCTATTTCTAAGACCAACCCTTGAGGGACAGATCCTCGAAAGCTGCATATCACTACAAAAGCAAGGATAAACACACCAATTAGCATTTTTAAACACTAAGACAGGGTCAGAGTCACTTGATTAAGCACTACATTTTCTTAAATGTGTACCCTCCCTTCTTTACTAATCCTCTTTCTAAAGTGTAAGCCCCTTTCCACTTAATCTACATTTTGAAAAATAGTATTAGCCATTTTGGACAATAAAATACATTGTGGCAAAATTACTATCCATGAGTGGTGGGTGCATGTGTGCTTGTATAAAAACATTTCTATTAACAGAGTCTCTCTGTCCCTCTGGATGTCCTGTGTTCAAATGTCCTTTTTGAGCAAGTTTGTATCAATTACTGAAGAAAATATTAACATTAGGAGCTTCTTATCTACCACAAGCAAACAGATACTTTTTAAAAGAATCATCAAATAAATTTGATTATGCTTTGAAAAGCAGAATTCTCATAATAAAAATGAACAGAAATTAATGAAATAGACACCAAATTATAAAAGAAAAAAATCTAGAGATAACAATCAAAATCCCATAACTTTTTGAAGGAAATTGACGAACTGATTCCAAAATTCATATAAGAATACAAAGAATTTTTTAAAAGCCCATCTTACCTCAAAATAATAAAAGCATATATGACAAACCCACGATCAAATCACACTGAATGGGGAAAGTTGAAAGCATTCCCCCTGATAAATGGAACAAGACAATGATGCTCATTTTCACCACGTCTCTTCAATATAATACTAGAAGTCCTAACCAAAACAATCAGGCAAGAGAAAGAAATAAAGGGCATCCAGATTGGAAAAGAGGAAGACGAACTGCCACTATTCAATGATTACGTAATCATATACATAGAAAACCCTAAAGATTCATAAAAAGATTCCTAGATCTAATAAACAAATTCAGTAAAGTAAGGTCTCAGGTACAAAATCACTGTACACAAATCAGTAGCACTGCTATACACCAAAAACCAAGCTGAGAATCAAATCAAGAACTCAATCCCTTTTACAACAGCTGAAAAAAATAAAAACAAAAGATCTTAGGAATATGCTTAACCAAGAAAATGAAGGATCTTTACAAGAAAAACTACAAGGCACTGCTGAAAAAAATTCACAGATGACACAAACAAATGAAAACACACGCCATGCTCACAGATAAGAATCAATATTGTAAAAATGACTGTACTGCCAAAAGCAATCTATAGATTCAACGCAATTCACATCAAAATATCATCAACATTTTTCCCAGAACTAGAAAAACCAATCCTAAAATTCATATGGAACCAAAAGAGCCTGGACAACCAAAGCAATATTAAGTAACACATTATGGGACTTTGAATTATACTACAAGGCTATAGTTACCAAAACAGCATATACTGGAATAAAAATAAGCAGTTAGACCAAACCCAGAAATAAAGCCAACTGGTGTTCAACAAGGCATACAAAAACATAAGCTGGGGAAAAACACTGATATGGTTTGGCTCCATGTCCCCACCCAAATCTCATCCTGAATTGTATTTCCATAATATCCATGTGTTGTAGGAGGGACCTGGTGGGAGATAACTGAATCGTGGGGGCAGTTTCCCCCATATTGTTGTCATCGTAGTGAATAAGTCTCACTGATCTGATGGCTTGATAGGGGGAAACCCATTTCGTTTGGCTCTCATTCTCTCTTCTCTTGTCTGCAGCCATGTGAGAAGTGCCTTTCACCTTCCACCATGATTGTGAGGCCTCCCCAGCCACGTGGAACTGTAAGTCCAATAAACCTCGTTCTTTTGTAAATTGCCCAATCTTGGGTGCGTCGTTATCAGTGTCTTTATCATGAAAATGGACTAATATAACATCTTATTCAATAAATGGTGCTGGGAAAACTGGCAAGCCACATGTAGAAGAATGAAACTGGCTCCCCATCTCTCACTATACAAAAATCAACTCAAGATAGATAAAACACTTAAATCCAAGACTTGAAACCATAAAAATTCTTCAAGATAACATCGAAAAAACTCTTCTGAACACTGGCTTAGGCAAAGAATTCCTGAGTAAGACCCAAAAGCAAATGTAAAAAAAACAAAAACAAATAAATGGAATCTAAACTAAAAAGCTTTTGCACAGCAAAAGAAATAATCAACAGAGTAAACAGATAACCCACAGAGAAAATATCTGCAAACTATGCATCTGACAAAAAACTAGTATCCAGAATCTACAAGGAACTCAAATCAACAAGCAAAAAAAAAAAAAAAAAATCACATCAAAAAGTGGGCAAAGGACATTAATAGGCAGTTCTCAAAAGAAGATATACAAACAGCCAACACACACATGAAAAAAATGCTCAACACCATTAATCATCTGGGAAATGCAAATTAAAACCACAATAAGATACCACCTTACTCATACAAGAATGGTCATAATTTAAAAAGCAAAAAACAAGATGTTGGTGTGGATGTAGTGAAAAGGGAACATGTTTACACTGCTGGTGGGAGTGTAAATTCGTACAACCACTACAGAAAACAGTATGGAGATTCCTTAAAGAATTAAAAGTAGATCTACCATTTGATCCAGCAATCCCATTACTCGATATCCACTCAAAGGAAATGAAGTCATTATACCAAAAAAACACATGTACATGCATGTTTTTAGCAGCACGATTCACAACTGCAAAGACATGGAACCAACCTAAATGCCCACCGACCAACAAGTGGATAAAGAAACTGTGGTATATATACACCATGGAATACTACTTAGCTACAAAAAGGAACAAAATAATGTCTTCTGCAGCAACTTGGATGGAGCTGGAGGCCATTATTCTAAGTGAAGAAACTCAAGAATGGTAAACCAAATACCATATGTTCTCATTTGTAAGTGGGAGCTATGAGGACACAAAGACATACAGAGTAATATAACAGACTGCAGACTTGGTGGAGGGAGGTTGGAAGGGGTTAAAAAATAAAAGACTACATATTGGATACGGTGTATACTGCTCAGGTGACAGGTGTTCTACAATCTCTCATTTCATCACTAAAGAACTCATCCATGTAACTAAAACCTACCTGTACTCTCAAAACTAATGAAAAAAGTAAGAAGAATAGCCCTGTCAATCTTGAAGAACTTATACTACCATAAATCTAGCCTTATAATCTAAAAACTGGTTCTTTGAAAACACTAACACTGACAGACATCTAGAAAAACTAGGAAAAAAGAAAAATAAATTATCAATATCAGCAATTAAAACATTAAAATCATCATAAAATGATATTACACAAAAAAACTTTACTAATTTGAAATTTTACATGAGTAGATGAATTTATAGAAAGACAAAATCTACAAACACTGGCAGAGAAGTTAAAAATTCAAATAGTCCTATATCTATTAAAGAAAAGTGAATCTGTAATTAAAAGCTTCCCAAAAATGAAATACCAAGTCCTGATTACTTTATCAGTCAATCTGTCCAAACATAAAAAAAAAAAAAAAAAACACCAATCATAAATAATCTCTTCAAAAGAGGGAATTCATTTTGAACTCAGCATGATAGCAATGCCTGAGAAGGACATGAGAAGAAAGGAAAATTACAGGCTAATCTTTCTCATTAATATAAATAAAAATATTTTTTTAAAAAAATACAAAGCAAATAAAATCTATGCATAAAAAGGATGATGCATCATGACCAATTACGGATTATTCCAGGAATGCAAGATTGGTTTAATATTAGAAAATAAAGGAAAAAAAATCATACGATCATCTCTATAGAGGAAAAAGCTGATAAAATTCAAAGTCTACTCAAGACAAAAATTCTTAACAAAGTAAGACTAGAAGGGAACTTCCTTAATCTGATAAAGAGCATCTATAATGTGTATATAGCAAACATCATACACACTGGTGATATACAAAACATTTTATCACTAAGGCTAGGAACAAGAAGAGGTTGTCCACTGTTACCATTTGTATTCAACACTGTATGCAGGACCAGACGATGCAAATAAGGCAATTAAAGGTATAATAATTGGAAATATGGAAATAAAACTGTCTTTATCAGGTCTGACTGTGTATGTTAAAAAAAATCCAAAAGAATACAGACATAAACTATTACAACAAACACCATGATGTAGCAAGGTCACTAGATACAAGGTGAATATTTTTAAGTCTATATATAAAAATAAACGATTAGAAAATGAAACATTTTGAAAATACACCATTTATAACAACATCAAAAAATGCCACGTAACTGGAAATAAGTCTAATGGGACATGTGTAAGAACTCTATACAGAAAGCTACAAAATATTGAAAACATTAAAAGCCCAATAAATAAAAGCATATATCATAATGGATTAGAAAACTCAATAGTATAAAAATATATATTCTCCCCAAATTGATCATTAGATTCTCTGCAATCCCAATCAAAATCTTAATAAACTTTTTTGTAGAAATCAATAAACTGATTCTAAAATGTGTTTTAAAATGCAAAGGATGAAGAAGGGGGACATATACTGAGAGAGATCAAGCCTTTCAGCTGAAAAGAAAACAAGCTGTAAAAAAATATATACAGCATGAATCTATCTGCACGTGTATATATGTGTATACTTGATCGTTGCTGAAGACATCAAACCTGCTATTGGTAATCTGTATAATCTGGGAATATTTGGCTATATTTGCAAGTACTTGTAGCATTATAAATCTGTAAATATTTTAAATTCTAAATGGAAAATAAATTCTGAACAAAAACTTTTCAAATTTTTTAAAACTTTAAAAAGCAGTTATACCAAGCTCTATTACTTAATATTGTACAGACTTGGGAATTGTTAAGAAACATCAAATACTCATCAGTCTTACTCTGACTACCAAGTGAAAAAGAAATGGTCTACCCTAGGGTTTACTACATTGAACCCTCCAAGGGGAAAGGGAAAGCATTAAGTTCCTTAATCTCAAGTCATTTCAGGCAGCCACAAATTAGCAGTAATACAGCTGTCTAAGGTCAAAGGTATATTCTAAGCATAATGCATAAATAAAACTATAGTGAAC